CGCAATGGGTTGTAGAAAAGCTGCACTCACTCAGAAGTACTACGAAGAGTTAGGAACTATTCGATAATGTTAGAAAACGCTCAGCGATTGAACAGAAAGGTGCACCCAGTGCAATAGACTGCTGATCACTGAGCATTAGAAACCATGTCCAGAGCGCTGAATCAGTGAACCCGCGCCAATGATACAGTCTCACTGTTCCTAACATAAAGGACAATGCGCTTTTAATGCTCAATTACGCCCACATGTACTCTGTTTCCAGCAGTGAATCATGTCTTAATTGCGGACGGGCGATCATGCTATTGGGGGGAGGTATATTCAAGTGAGTGATCCAATAACTGTGCTTGGCACTAAGCCTTAGGGAGGGGAGGGATTCTGGGAGAGGGTGTGAGCAATTCATGTTCTTCTGTCATTTCTCCCCTCTCCTGGGCTTAGACCTAGGTCATCTACACCTTCAGCCCAGTTTTGAATGTCCTTAAGGGCATGAGCGCCTGCAAAGTAGTGGGGCACATAGAAGGTCGGATGCCATGTGCACTCTTTGTTGCTCTCGAAGCTGGCTAATGCCAAATAAAAAAGTATACAGGGTGGGCAAAAATTACGGTAACAAGGGCTGCCGCTGTCAATTTTTAATTTTATACACCAGGAGTTTTGATTTATATTCCATGTGATTATTTTGACAACTCAGTGTTCTTCTTTGATTTCGTCACATGAAATATATCAACTCCGGAATGGACAATCTTTAACTCCTCGAGAAACAATCACTACTTCGCTCCGACGAGCTGTTTGATTGTGTTGCATTGCAAGACGATTCAGAAGCTCTTTGAAACTTTCGTCGACCACCATTACAAAGTTTAATAGGCTATTTACCAGCATCAATAGGCCTGGACCTGAAAGGATTGCTTGTGCGACTTCACGAGTAATATCTCGAAGATACGTGCGAAGAAGCGCTGGAAGCCAGCTCGTCCAATCCCGTCGTTTGGTCGCTGAAACTGCTGTCAAGCGCACTTTCTTGCAAAGTGTTGCTTGCACAATCTTAACAAAAGGTTTACAAGCATGACAAATGCCTAACTTCTTACCGATATGTGGAAATTGAATAGAAAGCAAAGGTGCTCAAAGACATTGTCTCGATTCCGTAATGAGCTTCATTTATTGTTTTCCTTGATTAGAAGATATTCTGCTGCCGGATCAGTTTTAAACGAGAGGGTCAACCGGACCAATGCTAGCGAAAGGCCAATCTGCCATTTTATGGTGCTTTTTCGCCGAAATCACAACAGCAATCAAGATTCGAAGACACCTGAGGCTTTTGGTGCTCAAGATATAAAACTGGATAGCAAAAATTGTCTCGAACTCCTTCTGTATCGGTTGATGCTTCAAACCGAAAGGACCTTCAATAGGAAACAGGGCATCAGAACAAGATTTCACGCTTACCCACAATGCACAGATTGTCAAAAATTGATGCCAACAGAATATCGTTGAATTCATCATATTAGAGAAGTGACAACATAGCTCTCCCACTCAAGTTCTATGAAATGCTTCTGTATGAGTGTGCCGAAGGCAAAGCACTGCTACAAGCATAACAGGAACATCGACTAGTTGAGCAGTCGCTCTTGAAGGCCTTTAGTCTACTCGACAACACCTACCTACAAAACAACATCGATGACTTTCTAGGAAGCCTTCGTTTATCTTATCAACGCAGAATGCGCCGCTCCACAGAGCAATATTGTTTCTTGTTTGATAACTTCCCAGCAATATGATGGTGTTATCGATTTGGGAATTCCCGCCACATTGCTTTTATATGAACAGCTTGTGTTATTATCGTAATTTTTGCCCACCCGAGGCTGCGCAGAAGAGAGTAGTATATTGAACGGGCTGAACAACTTGGACTAGATGCGCGTGGCATCGCTTTCGTCGCGTTGCCGCGATGCGGTCTCCTAAACGACATCTGTGGGAAGGAAGTTTCGCCCTTATCATTATCGATGGTGGTATACATATCGTCCCGGCAAACGCCCATTTATCCAAGATTTGAGGCATTTTTTACATGTATTGCTAATTTGTAATAGTTTCGATTCACAGAGAACCTACAACTGTAACAACAGAAGGCATCACCAAAAAACGTGGCCATTGGAGTAACGAAGTCGAATTTTTACTAGCTGTTGTTGGTCTAACAGTAGGATTAGGAAGTGTCTGGCGATTCCCTTCATTAGCGTACAATAATGGAGGAAGTACGTGATTGTATTCTTTTCATCTACTTTACTGATTCACAATCAGCGTCTCAGTGACTGCTGTCTTGTTACGAAGGAATAACTCTGATTACGCTCCAGGCGCATTTCTGATCCCGTTCCTGGTCTGCGCTGTACTAGTTGGCCAACCGATGATGTACTTGGAAATGATTGTTGGACAGTATACCCACACAGGGCCCTCGATGGTCTTTCGCCACTATGCACCAGCTGTACAAGGTAAGTACAACGCTTCGCACTGCAGGAATAAGGTGCAGTTCTGATAGATACTGAGCCTAGCTCCTTCTTGTGATGCCCTCGATCATTACCGAGGTAAAAAAACGCACCTCCTAGCGAGTGATCGAGGACCATGCAAGTGTACCAGTCCAGTTGAATTGGAAGGAGACCTGAGAAAGGACAGCTCCGCTGAACTCCACTGAAGGTGACGACACACAAGTGGTGGCACCTTTGACTAAAACGACCTTACTAACCCGTGAAGAGACGATCCACTTTCGCTTCCGATCCTCCACATGCTACCACTTGACACACTCCGACGGCCAAGAGAACTCCTTCCAAGGT